CAGGTCCTGAATAGCTTCAGCATCAGTCCTGGTTATTAGATTGAAGATTTGTATTGAGATATCAGAAATGCCGGTTTCTAGAGCTTTCCGGATGATAAAGTGCCGGATAACACAGCTTTTATTGCATTATGTTAGGTCCGCATGGAGGGATTTAATACAAAGAGAAGACATCTACCTGTGGAATTAATCCTGACACCCGTACAAAGAGTACGTAAATTTTGTGCAGGAGTTAGCTGCAGAGCCCAGGGGGATCCAAATCCTCTTCCACAAGCCACAGAGCTTTCTGCAACCACTGCTGCAGTCTCAAGGTTATAGCAGCTTCTGCAGCCCCTCTGCTGAAGTCAACAGAGTTATGATGGTGTAAAACCTGAATGAAAGGAGTATCATATCTACCATCTTAACACTAACTCTACGGCTATGACCTGATTTTTATTTTCAAACAACGGGAGTATCAAATACAGGACTACTAAAGTTTTCATACTCAGGTATTATATCCACCATTATGTTCCAAGTAAACCACACAGAGGAAAAACACCCTCTTGGTTCCAGCCACTAGTGTACGGTTACCTGAGATAGTCAAAAACAGAGGTGGATTTTGGTTTTGCATTACATCAGTTGTGTGTTTTGCCTTACAAACTCAAAACCTTGAGCCATTTGGATCTCGTTAATCTAAATTCCCCATGAAAATCAGGGAAGGGAATAATGAGTTGCAAATAACCAATTCTATTTTGGTTCATCTTTAGTAGATATTGATATTGCTGTTAAAGAATGAAAAAATATAATTAAACAACCCGCTTATTTTTCTCTGAATTAATTTGGTTAATTTAAACCACAATGCACGCAAGCCAATTCAAAAAATGTGACACCCACTGAAACAGTCCATTAACAATGACAAAAGTTATCTGATAAGGCAGTTATACCATTAATATGCATTTGGTTTGTTTTCACAAGGTATTGCAGGTCTTGCTAGAGTGCTTGGTGAACTTCCAGATCTTATTAAATATTTATAATTAATCCTTACAAAGTCACATTTCACAATGCTTGTTCTAATTAAAGGGACACTGTCAACTTGAATTTTTTTTAAAATGACTACTTTAAAAACTTCAGTTTTCTGGTAGACTACCATTTAAATAGTAGAGTCTAATATTTTTAATTACTTTAAAAAAATGGTTACAAGACTCTCCGTTCCTCTGTTTATATTTAGAAGGATCTGTGGTGTGATCCTGAGAGCAAAACAACATATGTACTCAGGCTAAACCTCTCACCCCACCCCAACCTTTTCTCTCTCTGCTTCTTGCTGCCCATTCAGTTTAATCTTTGCTTGTTGCTGTTACTGTCAAACTTTCCAGGCCCCGGGGAAGCTTGTCCACCATTGGACACAAGATGTGACAAAGACCAAAAATCATGAACACAAAAATTATTCATGCAAGAATGCACTGGGACTCTTCCTTTAGAATAAATAGCTCTTTCTATAAGACCAGTTTCTTAATTCTTTATTTTTTAGGTTAATTTTCAACAATAAAACTGAAGGGAACACCACATTTGTGTAGAACTGAGGTAACTTTGGGACTGAAATGAGTAACATCCCTCACATTTTGGAGGTATGTTTACAAGTAAAAACACAGTACAACTGATTATATAGAGTGCTGTCAAATGCACAGTGTAAATGAAATGAAAAAGAATTAAAAAAAAATCTAATACCTTCCAATTAAAGTTATTTTAGGGGTTACTTACTAGTATAGTAGTTTGGGATTTTTGGAAAGAAATGTGATTTCCAAGCTGACAATGTCCCTGTAATACTATATGTATGACAATGTACCTGTTTCTGTATTAATCTGAAAAAAACAGGCAAGCCCACACACATCCAGCCCACTATTTTTTCAGAGTTTACAACATCACTATATTAGAATTTAGATGATTTTGATAGCCTACAGCCCTATCTCAAAGAAAGGGCTAATGCAAGTGCTTATCATAGATGAGTGATTTCATCATGTGGCAGAGAGAGGATAAAGTTCTTACCCCTGATTCACAAAGTATGCTGGCAATGTGCTTATTATGATATGAGCTACCCTAAGGCTAGCTTTACGGAAACACAGTGATAAAAAAGGATATAGTGGGTTTCAATTAACACCACTTTAAGTTATTAAAGAAGTTTACAGATATGCTATAACTCAAAAGGAGAAACATTAAGCACACACAGCTATGAGGGGGAAATAACATTTAAAATTTTTGGTGAAGGAAAGAGTTTGGCAGGGTACTCTAGACAGCTTTCTAATTTTGCTTGAGCAATTGATGTTAGAAAGTTGGATGTCTAAATGACTGAGCCATACACAGATTATTTGTGTATGTCAGTGTTGAGCACAAAATGATACAGGGCTATATCCCTTATGCTGCTAAAGATGAGACTGTTCATCCATAAAGCTCCTCACTAAGGAATGTGAGCTGAGAAAACTCTCCCACTTCTTCAACCAAATAGGACCTTTCTCCTACTTAGCCCTCTCCCTCTACAAGGCCAGTAAGACATCCCCCACTGAGCAGCCCAAGAGCCTCACATTATCTGCCTCCTCCCCACAGCCACCAGCCCTCTCCCCGCACACAGAGCTACTGTCAGTTCTCTACTGGTTTCTCCCTGCACCCAGCTCCCAGAGCAGCCCACCTCTCCTGCACGTTCCAGGCTTGAGGGAAAGCTCAGGAACAGATTCCTTCAACCCAACCCAAATCCAACAGAACACGACTACAAGTGTTGGAAGTGTGTCAAATCAAGTATGAAAACAACCTGACACTCTCGGGCTTGGGTCAGATAGTCTCTATTCAGCTTCTTCTGCCCAGGGGATTGTCACGGCAGTGACTGCTTTTCCCGCTCCTACCAGCCACCACCACCTCACTAAGCAGGGTGTGCTGCAGGGTGAGTTTGCCAACAAGTTGCAGTGCCTCTCATTCTGCAGCACACGCAGCACAATGAGGCAGCCACCAGCAAGAGTGGGGCACGTGGTTGCCACGTCACCAACCCCACATGGAGGAGACATCCAGAGATGGATTTTGGGCAGGGAGAGCCAGAAGGCCCCGCCAAGCCAAGACCTAAAGACAAGACGGTGGCAGCAGTGCTGACACAGGTTCATGGGAAACAGTTTGCTCTACAGTGAGCAATGCTGGGCCAGGAGAACCGGGGAGCAGCTGGTGGGCCAGGGAATAATTAGCCCTCAGGGACTCTGCAGAGAAAACAAAATAAAGTCTGAGCCAGCAGCTAGACCCTTTCAACCCAACCCAATACCAACAGGACCCCACTACAGGGGTCAGGTCGGATTGAGTCTAGTCTGAAAACAAGCCAACATGCTTGGGTCAGGTTCAGATTGGCTGTAATCTAGGTGGGTTTGGGCCGGGCTTTAAAATTAGGCCCAAGCAGACTTTTAGTCAGGAACACAGAGAGCCAATAACTCTCAATGGAGAAGGTGAAGACTTGCAAAGGAGGAGTTTCTAGAAAAGGGAAATCACTGGCTCCCCCAAGAGTCTTGAGCTGCTACATTCCCAATTCCTGGACCAGGCAGGCCTGCCAACAGTCCCAGAGTCCAGAAGGCATAAGGTGACAAAGTAATCTTCACCTCTCTTTCCTCCACCCCCTTCCTGCATCCAGCACGGGAACAGAGGAACATAGAATCGAGGCCTTTTTTCATGCTAGTTTACTTAATTTACACATCTGCTTCAGCCAAAGCAGAACTGTCTATTGAATATTCAATAAAGTATTTATTATAGTTTGTATATAACAGATGGCTCTGCTTTTGCTGAATCACATATGAAAAAATCCTGTAAGAATGCCAAATGATACACCTTTTTCTTATTCCATCTGCCCAGGCTCCCCCAGGGAAGTCAACTTTACAGTTTCATATAGCTTGCACATGGCTGGAGAAGAAAACAGAAAATATATTGGGGAGGAGGATACAGAATAATGTCCCTTCCAATTTTCCCTAACACTCTCTTATTTTCAAAAAAGGTATTCTTTCTGGGTATTCCAATGCCAAGAACACTGGGAAATTATCAGGGCTTAAGTTTGCCAAATGGCTGCAGTGGAATTCACAAAAGCGCTGTTTACTGAGCATTATTATTAATGGTGAGAAGAACACAGTAGAATTGAGGACATTCTTTCTGGAATATATCCAGATCTTAAAAAATATATATATATATATAGTGCTTTACTTCTGGTTCCAATGGAAAAATAACAAGTTTATCCTAAATTCCAATTTTTTTTAAAAAATGTGGAAAATATTCAAAAGTGTCAATATTAACCCTGATCTCTTACTAGAACAATAGTCCACTGAAGTTAGAGAGAAAGAGATGCATCAAAAATATCTAAATGTCATATGTGACTGTAAAAATATGAGCAAATTAACATTTTCAACTAACCTCTAAAAAGGCCAGTGCTTAGATTTCCTTTTTTTTTTAAATGTTAGTATCAGAGCCATTGGGGCAGATTCTGTTCTTCGATTCATTTCAATTATAGTCCTGAGAGCATATCTAAGCACTAAGCCTACACGGGCAAGTATAGTCTCAGCTTCCTTTAACTTTACACATGCTTTCGAAGTATAAATTAACACATGTTCAAAACGTTTCCATTTTAGACTCCACACAGAATCTTCCAGCAATTAATTACAGTAAAGTATTTCATTATAAGATAAAAATCAGAAATTGGCCTCAGAGGAATCCCAAGTATCCATAAATCTTTGATAGATGTTCAAAATCTAAATTTAGATCTGGATCCAAATTTTGCAGCTCACGATATTCTTGCAACAGGCCAAACCAAACCTTTGAACCCAAACACCCCTGAACTTTGAGGATAGAATTTTTCTGTAATCCATACCTGGATCTAAAGCCAAATTTTTCAACTTTTCCCTATCAAAACACGGGATCCAAAAAAGCTCCAAGTTTTCAGGGATTGAAACCCCCCTCCAAATTTTGTGTTTTAGGTCCATGCTTAGATATAATACATGCAGGATGGTAGGACTTACATTATCTCCTTGCGTGTAGCTGTCCTTGGAGCAGAGGCATCTATATGGCTTAGTACTTGTATCACAATGATCAGCATGGCCATGACAATTACACCTGCAGACAAAAACAGCTATTAAAGAAAATACACAACATGCATTATTTGAGAGACATCTCTCCACTATTTTTACACTGTCATGAAGGTAATTTTCTGCTTTGTTAAGAATAAACCAAGTCCCAAAAAAATACTGTTCTTAAGTGTAGTAACCATTAGATGTCTTCTCCATTCAACATTTATAAATGTCAAGTAAATGCAGCTTTCCAGGGGAGTAAATTGACAGGACCGTTTCTAGACCAACTATTAAGTTATCAAGTGTGCATTACGTGCTTTCATTACATACTATGCAGATACAAGGCCTTAATTATTTACTACAGCTAGCACCTATCTTGTCAATATTAACCCTTGATCTTATAACTTGGTCATAATATCTTAAAGATCTTTCATGTATTGAACTTAAACACACAGGGCCCAATTTTGCCCTCAATTTAAAAAAAAATGACTCCCGCTGAAGTCAAGTCCTCCTATGAAAGTCAATAAGTAATACACCCAAGTAACTGAGGGCAGAATTGAGCCTGCAGTCTTTTCTTTTTGAGGTATGAAATAGCCTCGTAGCTTTGCAGTAGAAAGGACTGTGCATGTATAAAGTCACCGACATAGTAACTGTTTAAGCAAAATAGAAATCACAATACATCTAAATAAACAGTCAAAATTTTACAAATTAAGGAAATTAATTTAATATAAAGGTGAATGTGACCTCTGATAGGGTGTTATCTCCCAAAATGAGATCACATATTTCAAAATATAAATTCACATATAATACATGTTCACAAAAATCAGCACCATATGCTCCTTTGGAGACTATTTCACTGTTAAATTTGCATATTATTTACAGGGCATAATTAGTCCTTTAACAAGATTGCATACTTAACATACATATTAAAATTGTCAGTCACAGATAATACAATACTTTCAGAACAGCTTCCTTTTTAAAGGAAAAACTGTGGCAAAAACAAAGAATGTAGATCGTTATTAAGACCATTACATTTGCCATGTCTGGAAATCTGTAATGAAACTTAGAAGACCTACGAAAGCAAAGCATAAGACAGGATTTCAGTTATAAGCCCCTATTTAGAAGAGTTTGTAACTCTAAGAAAAAACCTCTTTTGACATATTTGTGTAATAAAAGTCATTAATTATTTTAAATATGCATTTGGATAAATGTTCAGAAAATATGTTTAATGGCATGTGGGACCTGATCCAATACTATGGGCCAAATACTTTGCACAGTCAAAGTAAAACCAGAGTAAAGCCATTGACTTCAAGGTGGCTAATGATAGATCACACATCTTCCTCAAATTTTCAATTGTTCGGAAGTTTCTTTAACCAAAAAAAAAGACATTCCGATAACTTCTACCTTCCACTGATTGTAATTTCATCAACTCCGTAGTATCTGTGCCTGAAGTTGACCCAAGGCTCAGTTGTATGATACTGGCCAAGAAGATGAATCCTCACTTGTGTGGCTTTTACAAACTCTTGGAGAGATGGAGTATTGTAGAAGTCATTGTAACCAGGCCGACGATTCGGTTCAGGTGTAAGAATACTGAAAGTAATGTTTCCACGGGAGTATGGAGTAAACCTGTTTTAAAAAAAGATGACAAACATATTTTACAGGTTATCTATTCTTCATGTTTTCACAGAGGACATTAATTAAGTGAGCACAACTTTATTTATCGTTTCTAATGGACAAATTCCGATGAAAATGGAAACCACACACAGAGCTCAAATAAAAGATATACACAGGCATATGCCGTATGTCTGTTTTCCCCAAACTGCCACTTTGTGGTCCAAAATATAAATTTTCATTTTAAATATAAAGCTTCTAGTCCTTATTGGTGCAAAGAAAACCTTGAAAACGAATACAGCAATTTCTTCCCCAGTTTGCAGAGGGCCTGAAACAATGGCTCAAAGGTGTAAACTGGTCTTGTTGCTATAAGATGTTAACTCAAATGGTCAGTGGTGATAATTTAAGTGCCCACATTATTAACTATTTCCCAGCTGATCAAGGTATGTAAAAAACAGAGGCACAAATCACACTATGAAGACCTATACAAACTACTGTGACATCTCATTTTGGCATGAGTGGGTGGCACTTGGTAGAGTACTACACAACTTGCTTCCCTCTCCCAAATCAAGAAAAATGCAAGTGCATGGAGTTTAGTGAAACCCAGCAGGGCCCAATGGGAGCCAAGGCCAACGAGCCCAGCTGAATATTTGAGCTTCAACAACGGAGGACATAGCCAAGCAAAGCCCTACACAGCATGCCTAATCAGAGGGTCTTCACAACCTACTATGAGCAGCATTTCATTTTGGCTTCTTTAATTGGCAGAGTTTGGCAAGTAGACAGAGCCTATGGAGAAGAACCACTGCTTTTTCCCCTACCCAAATTTGGACTCTCTAAAATCTATGCTCCCAAAAGCAGAACTTGGCACTTGATAAATGAAATTCCCATGCATTGTTGTTTCCTCTAGAAAACTGCTGGGCTGTTTGAAACTTAGAAGCTCTTGCTGGGAATTTTTGTAAACAGTTCCCAGTTTAAGCCCCTACCCTGAAATGAAATCCTCTGCTAGTGCAGACCCTTGAGGCTCAGTGGGGGATCCCATTGACTTCGCTGAACCCTTACACAAATCAGGGGCCCATGCTACAGCATCAGAACCTCAGTTTTTCAACAGAAAATGGCTGGAGGGTGACAAACTGATCTCCAAGCAACCCATTATCACCCATTTCTTGTAACTGTCTCTATGATTCTTGCTCCCCATCCATTTTTTCTGCCCCTAGCACAGATCCCCTTTTTGTTTGGCCATCAGGGATGAGGCTCCAAATGTGAATAATTGCAAGTTGGTACACATTGCAAATTAATATGTCATCAGAAATAGCACGAAGTGACCAGAGAATGGGTTTGGATGATCAATATCCAAAGAAATACTAGAATAGAATATATCTATACAGTTTCACTGAGAAGTTTAGTATTAGAGCTATATGTTATTTTCTCCAAAGGAATCAGTGGGTATTTTCCTGTCCTTAAAAAGAATACATAACATAGTAACCAATTTTTCTCTTCCACATAATGCCTGCTTGACTATACAGAATATACATTGGTCTTTAGAGGGCTTTTCGGAGGGTTTTTTTTTTTTTAATGAAGTGTACTGTACATCAGTCATACACAACATTATGCACTTTTATCATATATGCCATGTAGTTGAAGGGAGAAACAGTACTACATTATAAAACATTTATGGAAGCAGTTCATACATTGGCTTTTTTTTTTTTGAAGATAAGCTAATTATGTTTTAATTGGGCTTGGCAGATTTTTTTATTTTTGTAATTTTACTAGATAATATCAGTTTATTTTAAGCATTTTCTCAATTTTTTATCAGTTTAAATTTTTCAGCTGTCCAAAATTATGGGTTTAAGCATTTACTTTTTTTTGTATCTATTTAAATTTTCACAGTTGTGGGAAATGATGGGGGGGGGGGGCAGAAAGTTATTTACTGACCGTAGACACGGAGATTGAAAAAGTTAAATCTTTATAAACCATTAAAACCCAAACTGTCAACATCATATGCCAAAATATAGATAAATATAATATATAGTAAATATCCTTAAATCAACTAGTCATAACTGTTTTTGCTATTCATTTGCTAATCCATTGGTAACGAGTCTATTCAAAAAAGTCTAAATCACTGATTTTTACTCTAGTAAGTTCTCAACCCGCATTCTTCTTAGTTTGCCTATCTGTAAATTTCTATGATCATCATTAGAAGTTAGAACTATTCCTTGTCAGTTTGTGTGTGTACACAGTATAAAAAAAAAAAAAAAAACCTGACATATTCCCAATAAAAATCTAATCCTTCCAACCCTAGTTTTAATGTTAGGCAAGGCATCATTTTACAACTAATGTAGATGATCAAAACTGGTTTCTTTGCTTACTTAATGAATTGGCTTTCTCCATTCCCCTCCCCCACTGAATAGCAACAATGTTCAATAGTCATTGTTAAAAACTGACTTAATTCAAGTGACCACATGCTGCTTCCCCTAGAATCCTGAACTCTTAGAACCCAGAGAAAGATGATCACACTTTAAAAGCCTCGGCGAGGTGGCAAATGTGAAACAGAAAAAGCCTACAGCACCTGGTACTGTATCCCCAGATTGTTTTCCAGCCAAGTACTAACTAGGCCTCACACTGACTAGCATCTGAAATCAGGCAAGAGCTAGTGCATTATGACAGGTATGGCTATAAGCAGAATCAGTTTACTTTTGAATTTGCACAAGGTAGTCAGTGAAACAGGGGACTGGCAATACGTTTCTGAGAGGGCATCCCCAAACAGAATGTGTTCTTGCCTTTAAAGGCTAAACGCATTAGAAAATGAATTTGTACCCTATTTCTTGAATGGTTTCTCACATCCACTGTAACTCTAAAGAGCTGACTTTGTCCTCACTTTTGCCCTCACTGATTTTTGTCCATCAATACAAAAGCATCTAAGTTCCAACACAAGATCTGACACTCTCAGAAGTCATCTGTGATATTTTTTAGATTAACTGGATGCTCAAAATCAGTTAAACTAGCACCCTTCTCTATCCCTCTTATCAGTGCACCTCAATTTCTTTACTAAGTGATAACAGTCCCATAAAATATGAATTACCAAATTTCAATATTCTCACTCCATTAGAACATGGAAATCAATTGTGTCAGGTGCTTGAATGTTTGAAATCTGATAAAAATGACAGATGACCTTTTGGTGATCTCCAATGGAAAGGTTAAATTTGGGATCTTTTATGTACTCGGCAGCCCATAATAAATGAGCATATCAAATTTCAAGATTCTATCTCAATGGGAACATGGAGATGAATTGTGTCAGACACCTGTTAAAAGCATCTGTATGATATAGATAATATCTATTCATACCTAGGAAGTTGGAGACAGTTGACAGAGTCTGGATTTTCTAGAGAGCCATTGTTATCCATTCCAAAAATACTGCAATTTCTAGCAAAATACTGCCAATCTTCCCAGTTTAAATCATTTTTCTTTTTCCTTTGAATTCTCATTGCTTCCGGCTGTGGACTATAGAACTGAAGGATAATATAGAACACCTACAAATGAACAACAAAATACAGAACTGAAATTAAAATAGCTTGAGCTACAGACCAACATGAATACAAATATTAAATAAATTTCTGTATCCACATGTAGTAATATAAAAAACTTATTTCACATCATTCACCATATATATGCATTTTGAATAAACAACAAATAGATGTCGCACATGAGAAATATCTAAGATATTTCTTCCCTTCTCCCAGACTGGTTTAAGAGTTAAAGTAAACTTTCTTGTTAAACCTGCTCTTTATACTGCTCCTTGGTAGGCAGTGGAATCATTCCATGACAATTATTCTTCATTACTTTTTGAGGTCTATTTGAAATTAGTACCTCATTGTATGGCAAGTCCATGCTCTGTGATATTACCAACATTTTGGCCACAAGAAAAAGGGATACTTATGTATTGCCAAACAGGTGGTGGATAGTTTTCTGGTTTTAAGACCACCCAATTTATCATTTTTCCCTGCCTTTGGCCTGGAACTACTTCAAATATCTGTGACACAGAAGGGAGTTTCCTCCACCACACTGTTGTATGGGCGTTTGTGATAAGCACTCCCACATGTATACTCCGAATCAATTGAGTCTTAATATTTCACAGATATTTAAATTGGCTTTTAAATAGAGAACAAGTTCTTACAAACTACGCCAAAATCTATCCTCAGATTCTTCTCTTCTCCTACCCCAAACATGCAAACTCAATTGACAATAAACAAAAAAGCTAACGAGAATAAGTTTTATAAACATTAGACCTTGGGCTTGATTCACCTCTGTGCATATAAGGGGCACAAACTGAAATGCCTGTTCTCATGGAGACAGTTTCATCAGGGGGGTCTATTCATCCCCAGGGCAGGCCACAGTAGGCTACTGCCCTTCAGCACTGGAGGGAAGCACCAAACTCCAAGCAGGACTCCACAGAAACCAGGCTGGTGGAAATGCTAGTTGGCCTGTCTCCGTCCCCTCCCACAGCAGTCCATCCACTTTCTGGGCTTCACTAGCCAACTTCAAGTCCCTGATGAAGCAGAGATTTCACATGGTTCTGTACTGATGCACACCTTTGAGTAGACTTTTTTTTACTGCACCTATCTTCCAGTGGCTGAAGGCATGAAATCAGTCCCTTGTGTTTTAATAGAAATTACGGTTAAAAATTACAGCAGTGAAGCAACTTAAAAATGCATGTTTTGTTTATGAACATAGGAGTTGTCATACTGGAGCTGAACATTAGTTCATCTACTCCATTACACTGCCTCTGACACTAGCCAAGATCTGATGTATCAGAGAAAAGCCAGAAACACAATGCACCTGCTCACTTTTTGCAACATTATGGGCAGGAGGAAATTTCTTCCAGGCCACCAAAGTGACCTGTTGATAGCTCAAAGTAAGAGGTTTGAACTTGCTTAAAATTGAAATCTGGTGTACTTTAAGCCTCCTCCTAGCTTTCATTTAATAAACATCAGGGAGCATCAACTACATTCCATTCTCATGCCCCAATGACAAACAAGAAAAAAATAGCCTTCTCATTACCTGATACTGTCCATTTTGTAAATCTATTGTGATAGTAACGCCACGGTCCAGATGTGCAGTGTTAATTAACAGAGATGAAATCCAGGAGGTTCCAATATCATTATCGTTGATATAACACAGGGAATGGGCTTCTGGGTTCAGCCTCAGCACTCTGTCATTAGTTGTGTCATCTGCACCATTAGGGATGCAATATCTCTGCACCAACGGGTGTACCCGGGGGTGACTGCCTGGGCAGCGGCATTCTGACTGGGTGTGCAGGTGAGGAAATTCCCCAGAGAATACCTCCAAAATGTCTCTGTCACAGCATAAAAAAGTAAATAGGTACACGGGTAAAGGGAAAGATGAGTGAAATTATGAGCATCTATGATTGCAGATTAAATTTCAGCCCCAGCCTTAGCCACCACCATCATAAACCACCACACTAAATGTGATTAGAACACCACCATTAATAGTTCTCTTTTATTACATCATGCCTGACTCTGATCACTAATCTGAATACTTTCCTTAAAACACATTATAGCATTGACATCGTGTCTGTAGTAGCTGTATCAATTAATCCACTTGAGTGTTAGTACCTAAATTTTCTGAAAAACATCCAATTATGCAGACAAATTTGCACCCTCAAATAACTATGAGTGCAGAAAAAAAGTGTTTATTGAGAATTTTGGCCTCAATATCTTAAGTGTCCACTAACTATGTGTGCCTGTCTTTGTGGTTACCCAACTAGACACTGATTTCAAAGGACACTGACCACATACAGTTCCCATTGACTTCTTTGGCAGATGAAATCAGGCCCTAGCTCTCAGGTAGGTTACCCAAAAGCTGAGGCACCCAAAATTAGTGGATACTTTTGAATATCTGAGTATATAATCACCTGAGATGCCAGCTATCATAGAAGATTAGGATTGGAAGAGACCTCAGGAGGTCATCTAGTCCAACCCCCTGCTCAAAGCAGGACCAGCACCAACTAAATCATCCCAGCCAGCGCTTTGTCAAGCCGTGCCTTAAAAACCTCTTAAGGATGGAGATTCCACCACTTCCCTAGGTAACCCATTCTGGTGCTTCACCACCCTCCTAGTGAAACAGTGTTTCCTAATATCCAACCTAGACCTCCCCCACTGTAACTTGAGACCATTGCTTCTTGTTCTGTCATCTGCCACCACTGAGAACAGCCGAGCTCCATCCTCTTTGGAACCCCCCTTTAGGTAGTTGAAGGCTGCTATCAAATCCCCCCTCACTCTTCTCTTCTGCAGAATAAATAACCCCAGTTCCCTCAGCATCTCCTCATAAATCATGTGCCCAGCCCCCCAGTCATTTTCCTTGCCCTCCGCTGGACTCTCTCCAATTTGTCACATCCTTTCTGTAGTGGGGGGGCCCAAAACTGGATGCAATACTCCAGATGTGGCCTCACCAGTGCCGAATAGAGGGGAATAATCACTTCCCTCGATCTGCTGGCAATGCTCCTACTAATGCAGCCCAATATGCCATTATTCTTCTTGGTAACAAGGGCACACTGTTGACTCATATCCAGCTTCTCTTCCACAGTAATCCCCAGGTCCTTTTCTGCAGAACTGTCACTTAGCCAGTCAGTCCCCAGCCTGTAGCAGTGCATGGGATTTTTCCGTCCTAAGTGCAGGACTCTGCACTTGTCCTTGTTGAACCTCATCAGATTTCTTTTGGCCCAATCCTCCAATTTGTCTAGGTCACTCTGGACCCTATCCCTACCTTCCAGTGTATCTACCTCCCTCCCCAGCTTAGTGTCATCTGCAAACTTGCTAAGGGTGCAATCCATCCCATCATCCAGATCATTAATGAAGATGTTGAACAAAACCAGCCCTAGAACTGACCCCTGGGGCACTCCGCTTGATACCAGCTGCCAACTAGACATCGAGCCATTGATCACTACTCGTTGAGCCTGATTATCTAGCCAGTTTTCTATCCACCTGATAGTCCATTCATCCAATCCATACTACTTTAACTTACTGGCAAGATTACTGTGGGAGACCGTATCAAAAGCTTTACTAAAGTCAAGGTATATCATGTCCACCACTATCTATCATCTGCACCTGCAGTTAATTCTGGGCACGGTATTTTGGGCTCATTTGTTTGTGGCCACTATACCCACAAAATTGGATGCTGATTTAAGGATCTTTTAAAATCAGATAAACAGTTTAGAATATGATATACTTGGCTGAATTAATCTAATTTTTATTTCATGGGAAACAGCAAGGATTTCCTTGAGAGAATATATAGCCAATGTGATTGTGGCAGTGTAGGGATAGGTCTGTATTGAATTATAAACTCATTTTCTATTATGCCTTGCACCCATGTCTATTCTTGCCTAAGGGCAGCCTATTGTAATGTATTTCCAGATGGCTGACCTTCCAGATAAGATGTTTGATACCTCATTGCAGGACAATCACTGAGAAGTCATCCAGATTGCAATCTGGGGCCATCAACTTTGACTGTGCCCCATCTGTTGGCTCAGCGACATGGAGTAATGGACTTTCTACTGAGGGGCCTGCATGGAGGTGGAGCATACATGATTGGAGGGTGGTTGAGAATTTCCCAGTGAAACACATGGCAGAGACAGAGGTCTCCTTCAGAACTGAGTACTGCTCTGGACAAGGAGACAGACCATCCCCACATGCAAGGAGGACTTTCAGGAGAGTGAGAGCAGAAGGGTTTCTGTCTAGCCTGGAATACTAACAAACCTCAGACTCACAAGAAGAGGCGAGATCAAACCAGGGGATTGTGCTCTAAGGATTTTTGTTTTCAAAATTTCTGTAACTCGAGGGCTTCAACAGCAAAGTTTCTGTAGTTAAGAATTTTTTTTGCTAAACCTGCATTCCTTGCTTATCTGCCACTTTGTCCCCAAAGGAGTTAAATTAGAAGCCTGGAGTACCCACAGCCCCAGGTGGAGCTCTGGGGTGTGTGTATAAGCAACTGCAGGTGCTTGGAAAGTCTCAGACACTGAGTTAAGGGTCTAGAATGGTTGAGTGGTGCCACATGTCCCAGGAAAGCATCTCAGACCAGCGGTCTGAGCATGGGAGTGTACAGACCCAGAAACAAAAAAGGGATTAGACTTTACCCTGACCCTGTTGGCTTGGGAGCACGTGAGACACAGCAATGGGGTCTACTCACCACAGACTGGGTAACTGTACAGTGGGGTACTAGGCCAGGTTGCAACAATGACAACATATAAACACGAAGGATATCACAGTGTGACTATCTAGTATTAGAAGTCACTGTATATATTTTAAAAACATCTGAAAAGCACAATTGATATCTAACATTCCACCCATGACTGATCTCGCCTCAAAGCCTGTTTGATACGAACAGCCCTGTTGAATCCATTCCCAGTAAACTATGACCACAAAAGTAACCATCTTTTAAGGAGAATATCAAAAAAGCCCTGTATTTTGGGGAACAAATTTACCATTATGTATTCTTCCTCTCTCTCTCATCATACTCCTAGGTTTTACCAAGAACAACAGGGTTTTTTTGTTTTGTTTTTTTACCTGTTTGTAAGTGCCACTTGGTACAATCGAAAATCTTGCATTCTTCCAACAAATTGCTCTAAACCTATGAAAATATATTATAAATAAATAATCTAATTCCATCAACCAGAAATCAACTCTACACTGCATGAAAGCACCTTTTATTCAGCACATAGTGAACTCTCTTGCACAATTACCTCCCATGAATGAAACCATCTTGGATGTGGACAAAACTATAGAGGGCAATGAATTAAATTTTTGATAAAAAGAATGATTTATAATAACTTTATAGGAACATTTTGTACCTCTCTCTTTTCTGATTAGAGAGGTGGCACAGGGACCGGCTCATTAGACAGAAGTAATGAGCCAGTCTATGTGCCACCTCTAATTAGAGAAGAGATACAGTAGGTACAACCGTACCTATCAATTTATAAAATAAAGATAAAAGGTATTTAAAATATTCCTTTCCTTTATACAGTCATTAGGTTGATAGTATTCAAAAGTTAGAATGACAACAGAAGACATTTCCAGACATTTTAAGAGTTTTTAAAAGTAGGATGGAAAATTACTTTTCTTGGTTGCCCAATAACAAAATAACTCTGTTTAAGACCGACACAGATATATTTAGGAGTTAGTTCCAAATTACAATATGTTCTGGATCAGTGGTACCTTTTTTGTCCACAGAGCCAATTCATCATTGTACAGAATTGAAGAGAGCCACAAACTAACAGTACCCGGATTTTGCACTGTTCATACAATGATGTAGAATTTGTCTAATTCTGAATGTAGACTGATGTAGAGCTCTATAAATCATGATGTAGTCTGAAAGGAAGGACTGGTAGCAGTAGTAAGTTGTTATCTATGTGAACCAGTCATTAGTGAAGGCTGAGGAACCCCACACTTTGCAAGTGGCTTTCATGAGTATTTGATAGAAAGCAGAGGAATATTAGGCATCAGGAAACTTGAGTTCTCTTCCTGGCTCAGGAAAGGAAAGTTGTCTACTTGCTACAAACAGTCCAGATAAGTACACAGATTTGGCATATTTATTCTGAAATGCAGTGGGAGATACTTGCCATGTTAGATACCTGGTTTCTAGAACATGCTGAAAAAAATCTACCTGGCTGTGATAATCTCCATGACCTATTATGCCATCATCCAGGCACCTCTATCTTGGTGCCAAGTTTCTGAGGAATACCATTTACTAATGGGCATTTTTTGTTGCACGGAGCCGTGTGCCTAGCTTTATGTACCCTTTCAATATGCATTACATCACTGAAAATTAGCTTGCAGAGCTACTTACCATGGTTTTAGACACACATCAAGCATATAATACTTTGAATGCTGAGCATACAGTGCTAAAATACTGCAGAACTTACCACTGAAACTTTGCCCAATTTGCAGTGCCCCGTCAGCAGCAAGGTCTGCAATTGGTCCACCAAGTATTCTTGAATCAAAAGCAGTGTTGTCATCCTCCAAACCATCTACAAAGAAACTGATTTTGGTGTGATGAACCTACAAAGATATATATAAAGAGGCAAATAAAGGTTCATTAGAAATAATCATTTTGAATTTTGTACTAATTGCATCTATTATTGATTAACCATTTTGAACGAAGTAAGGGAGTTTTTTACTTTCTTGATATCTTTTAAATTCCCTGGCCTGTTTTCCATATTTACTAACTAATCTTCCCACTAGTAATCTAGGTAACAAACATGTCAGAAACATAGACTAGAAAAGTATCATAATGGTCAAAGCAAACAAAAAGCTACAATGAATTAATATTAAGGGATCTGTCTGATTGAATCAACAAACAAACCAAGGAAATGCAGAGTCAAGGTTATCACTCCATTCCCAATTTTACTGTAATGCCTAGGTATTTCTTCATTTTAAGATCAGGGCTTCACACACCATAATCCTATTAGTATTTTTCCTTGATGAGGAGGACATTTCAATACATCTTTCTCAGAGTACTGAGGGTATCCTTCCTTCACTGTACAGAACAGTAATTAAAATAATAATTACTACTTTCTACATTACATCCAAGGATCTTAAAGCACTTTACAAACATTAACTAATTATGTGACATGCTTGTGATATATCATCCTCCTTTTAAAGATGCGTAAAGAGAGGCCCAATGAATTTAAATGACTAGCCAATGGTCAAAACACAAAGTGGTACAGGTGGTACATAGATTTCAAGAGTCCTTTGTGCTAACCATGAGAAAACCCTGAATTTAAAACTATGATTTATTTTTTTATTTTTTACCATCTACAATTTAAAGTAAACAGAAGTTGCATGAATGTGTTAGGGTTGTATACTGGAAAAAATAGGTCTGACAAGAATACAAGAGCACAGAGGTGCCTAATCAGGCATTCATGGGGATCAAACCCAGACCTGAGCCAGAATCTGGTGCACAGTTTAAAAAGTTTACTTTATTGTAGGGCTGTCAATTAATCACAGTTAACTCACGCGATTAACTCAAAAAATTAATCGCGATTAATCGCAGTTTTAATCGCACTGTTAAACAAGAGAATACCTGTAGAAATTTATTAAATATTTTGGATGTTCTTCTACATTTTCATATATATCTTGTATTCTGTGTTGTAACTGAAATCAGAGTGTATATTTTGATTACAAATATTTGCACTGTAAAAATGATAAACAGAAGAAATAGTGTTTTTCAATTCACCTCATACAAGTACTGTAGTGCTATCTCTTTGTCCTGAAAGTGCAACTTACAAATGTAGATTTTTTTTTGTTATATAAGTGCACTGAAAAACAAAACAATGTCAAACTTCAGAGCCTACAAGTCCACTCAGTCCTACTTCTTGTTCAGCCAATCGCTAAGACAAATAAGTTTGTTTACATTTACAGGAGATAATGCTGTCCTCTTCTTATTTACAATGTCACCAGAAAGTGAGAACAGGCATTTGCATGGCACTTCTGTAGCCAGCACTGCAAGGTATTTACGTGCCAGATGTGCTAAACATTCACGTGTCCCTTCATGCTTCGGCCACCATTCCAGAGGACATGCTTCCATGCTGATGATGCTCATTAAAAAAATAATTAATTAAATTTGTGACTGAACTCCTTAGGGGAGAATTGTACGTCCCCTGCTCTGTTTTATCTACATTCTGCCATATAGTTCATGTTATGGCAGTCTCAGATGATGACCCAGCACATGTTCATTTTAAGAACACTTTCACTGAGGAATTGACAAAATGCAAAGAAGGTACCAATGTGAGATTTGTAAAGATGGCTACAGCACTCGACCCAAGATTTAAGAATCTGAAATGCCTTCCAAAATCTGAGATGGAGGAGATAGAGAGAATGCTTTTAGAAGTCTTAAAAGAGCAACACTCCAGTGTGGAAACTACAGAACCCAAACCACCAAAAAAGAAAATCAATCTTCTGCTGGTGGCATCTGACTCGATGATGAAAATGAACAAGCATCAGTCCACACTGCTTTGGATGGTTTTTGAGCAGAACCCATCATCAGCATGGACGCATGTTCCCTGGAATGGTGGTTGAAGCATAAAGGGACACATGAATCTTTAGCGCATCTGGCACGTAAATATCTTGCGACGCCGGCTACAACAGTGCCATGAGAACGTCTGTTCTCACTTTCAGGTGACATTGTAAACAAGAAGCGGACAGTATTCTCTCCTGCAAATGTAAACAAATTTGTCTGAGCGATTGGCTGAACAAGAAGTAGGACTGAGTGGACTTGCAAGCTCTAAAATTTTACATTGTTCTATTTTTGAATGCAGTTATTTTGTACATAATTCTATATTTGTAAGTTCAACTTTCATGATAAAGAGATTGCACTATAGTACTTGTATTAGGTGAATTGAAAAATACTATTTTTTTTGTTTTTTTACAGTGCAAACACTTGAAATAAAAATAAATATAAAGTGAGCACTGTACACTTTATATTCTGTGTTGTAATTGAAATAATATTTGAAAATGTGGAAAACATCCAAAAATATTTAAATAAATGGTATTCTATTATTGTTTAACAGTGCGATTAATCGCACAATTAATCGCTATTAACTTTTTAATCGCGCGATTAATCACGATTAATTTTTTAATCACTTGACAGCCCTACTTTATTGATAAATGAAGCACTGCAAACCGTTCCCTTTAATTTATAGAGCTGAGTGAATAATTTGGAACAAATACTTTACTAGATTAATTTAGCCTCCTTTTTCTGTTCACAGAATAACTATGAGCAGATCACAATTTCCTCAATTAACTAACTTTTTGCCTTTTACTCCAAAGATTAATCACAAACAGTTTGCTGATAGTACACAATACTCGACATTCAGAACTCAAGCTGTGTTGCTTAGTTGCAACTGGGTGTGTGTCATATAGGCTTGCAACCTTTTCTTTTCTGAGCCACACAAAATTTTGCCAAGTCTTCATTCCTAGAAAAGTGAGATGAATCAAGTTACACATATGAATAAATGTTTGCACTACTGGAGCCCAATCCTTGTTGTAAAGTATATGGTTAGACACTGGTCTCTCTTCCTAGAGTGGCTCTGTGCCTGGTATATAGTAAAGTGTTTGGGGAAAGTTAGCCCTCTTGATGTGTCAAATAGTATCCTATTAAATATACGATAACATGAAATATACCAAATGCACTGATTTACTGTCATTTTTCTGTCATTACCATAGTGATTTTACATGAAGTGTATGCATGTGACTGTGGGGATTCACCAAGTATATGGTCAGTCCCTTGTTTAGATCACTTCCTGGGCTATTTAAAAGTTGCTTACCTCAAATAATCATGCATACAGGTTTGAAATGTGGGGCCAAATTTGGAGATGAGGTGGTGGCATCAGGCAGCCTGTTATGACTCCTTGATTCTCTCCCAGGCTCTGAACACAAGTTAGGGCAGTCTGGGGGCTTCTCTAATTTGCACCATCTAATATGGACCCCAAAAGGACCATCCAACAGCTTAGTATAGCAAAGCAAGCACAACACATTCAAACAGGCCTCTGACATTCCTCCAACATACCTTCCAACCCCGATAGGCCCCTTTCGTCAGTGGCTGCAAGGAGTGCTAGCTAAACCTACTCTGTACCCACTGGAGATTCCACTACACTAGGGGATGTCTATGCAGACAGTCTTCACTCCAGGCAGTGATTTCTGCAAGCATTCTTTTTCTTGCCAGTTCATGTTAAATTTGAGTTAATATTCAGAGAAATATTTAGTGGCAGTCTCCCAGTCCTAGTAATTCAGAAGACACTGAGCTTTTTTCTGTTAGGACTGTTCTGAATTAGCATATAAGTTACATGAAATTAGAAAGAATTTATAACACAGCAGGCTTCTAGGTGTGATTTTATGGAATTCAAAAATTTAATCTGAAAAATAAGGACAGACACACGGGAAAGAAAACCACATACCAGTTTCATTGCCTTATAGCCATATTTCCCTAACTTAATTAAATATATTAAATGCAACTCATTTAAAATGTTCAAACTCGCCCGGATAGCTCACTTCATTAATAAATACAATGAATAAACTTTATTGAAAAACCTTCTTTATTTATGTGAGTGATTTATTCGCAAGAACATTCAAACCAGGAATTATCAGATTTTAACTGTATTTTGTTTGTGTGAGGTTTATTTCAAATGATGGTTTGGGGAGTGTCAGATTTCAAAACATTATTTTGTTGTTGCCAGAATGTTATTTCCATTTTGAAGAAACAGGTAATCATGAACTTAAATGGATGCCTGGTGAATCGTCTCTACTGATAGAGGCTAAGAGAAGCTGGAGTGCTCTAGCCTGCCTTGAGATCCACTCTAATCAAATCAAATAGGGCTGGAATAATTGCATCTTTAAGAACAAGGGGTGTGTGAGGCCAAACAAAAGGCTTATGAGCCAACGCAATTTGGTGCAAAAGGAAGGCGAGACCCTGAAAAATTCATTTTGAAAATCAGAGAACGAGCATTCAGAATGCTATTCCACCAACAAAACCTTTCAAATTCTGACCAAGATAAACAGCCACAGTTATCTATAAATCTGAGCTTGACTGATTATCATCGGTGCTTCAGGCACCATGATTCTATTAGTATTTTAAGAAAGAAAATGTGAAATGAATAGAAAATTGATTTTATGGAGAAAATTTATTTCCCTTAAATTATACTTTAAAATAAACATACATGCTGAGTTTTATTATTGTTATTTCCAGATGCAGTCAATATTTCCCAAATTTAGACAAGGATTTATTGCCCTTCCACTGAAAAAAAATTGGAAGGTTATCGTCATAATTACTAGGCATCGAGATTTGTTCAAAAAGTTCTTGCATATGGGTTTCCCCACTCTAAGCACATCACTTTCATTTTAAGTTAGCTTTCTGTGTTGACACATCCATGACCCAAATGCAGGAAGATCTTATTTAATTTAATACAAAGCCTTTAAACAGCCAATGCCCTGTATGTGAGAGTGCGTGTGTGTGTGTGGTGGTTGAACTGCAGGGGGGGGTTGCATCACATTTTTTACAGCCT